ACTCGATACACTAGCTAGCGAACCCCGTCCTCGACCGCACGTATTTTATCGTCGCCTATGAAGTTCGTACTACGAACTTTATTAAAGTTTTGCATAAGCGTTCTATAGCATTTTGTTCGATAAAAATTCACTTAGAACCCTAAACGATATAAAGCGGCATGAAAGGTAGCATTCGTTTCTTGTTTCAGATGAACGTTTCAAGTACCGTACATTGATTCATACTCTATATTACACACAAGTATGATGTTCATGTAGTGTTTTTGCAAAAACTGTACAATGTAACACTGAGGGTGTTACAGTTTCGCATCTATTTGGCAGTTGAGTTGTGACCATGAAGTTGGCAAGGATGCCGGCGTGGAAGGCGCGCACGGAGTTGGCGAGAAGGCCGACGTGGGATGTGGTGGCCAACAAACCTGCGTTGCCGAGGTGACCTGCGTGGAGGCTTCTGACCGGCAGCCGGTGGGCGTGTGGCACTTGTACCTCGATGAGATAGCTAGGTTTACTGGAAGCTGCGGTGTGCACGCGTGGATCTTGGCGGGCAGGGTCGGCGAGCGCCTGAGGTAGCTCCTCTGGCGTCGGTTTGGCAGTTTTGCAGCGGCCTACGGCAGGTAGCCCTGCTTTGCAGTGGCTATTCCGGTGTGGGACAATGTCTTGAGAGACGGTGCAAGCGGAGCTGATTGTGGAGGGGCTACACGGCTTGCAGCGGATTACAAGCGGCTAGCCCTGCTTAGTAGTTGGCTACTCGATGTGGGACATCGTCGGCAATGACGGCACAAGCAGTGACGAGGGTGATTTCGTCTTGACGGCTTTGTCTTTCGGGGGATGGCGGTGCAGTGTAGCGACCAATTCGCGGTGGTTGGGTGGCGGTGAAGCGTGTGTCTTTGTTGAGTTGTGGCTCGGGTCGATGTCCCAATCCGACCGGCCGGAGTTGTTTTTTCTTCTTTGAGTTGGGGTTCTCGATGCGTGTTGATATTCCAATCCAACCGACCGAAGTTGTTTGTATTTATTTTTGCCCAGTCTGGGCTTCATCTACGCTTTTAATATAATCTGCCTGATTCGTTTCAAAAAAATTCTCATTGTCATGGTACACCACATGTGCAAAGTTAAATTATCATGATTGCCATTTTGGCTTGACTATTGGTCATCTTATGAATTTTTTTGTTGTTCCCATTGCATTCGCACGGGCAATTACCTAGTTAGTTATTAATGGTACAACATGGTCTGCTAAATTTGTTTCTTGGTTTTGTCTTGCAATAGGGTTTGTGCATGTTCATATTTCTTTTCCTACATGGATTCTTTTCGAACATGTTTCCTAACCCCCTAACCCCTGAAAGTATACACTCAGTTTATCACTTACTCCATTTCTTCGTTTCCATTTTTTGACTTCTGTATCAATGGCTACAACAGCAGGGGTCTGTTACCTATTCCAAAGTTGTTGACAAGGTTTCTAGGCGCAGTCTCCTAGAAATCATGGCCAAGAGGTACCTACCAGCATATGAAATTGACTGATGATTTCACCTTTGTCCTACTTTCAAAGGATGCCATAGTCACTTTTCCTATGTGCCTACCAGTATTACCAGGTTGCCGGTCTCACTGTCCAATCCACTTTGCCTGCCTACCTATATACTCAGCTAAATCATGGACAATGAAGGTTGTACAACCTTTCGTGCTTCCAGCACATGAAAAGGTAATTATTCTCCCTCTACCCAACTTGTTCTTAATCTTTGTCTCTTACCCAAGATAAATCAGGAACAACATATTAGCTACCTACTTCGCTATACCGTGATTTATTTGCCTGCATTATGTCATATTAATATCAACATGGTTATAGGAGAAGACTACTTTTTCAGATCCTTCGGTTTTCAGTGGCCTTTTCTTAGGTTTGCTTATCATGGCTCATGAGTCATGACTGTAACTGACTATAATATTATGTAGTACTTAGAAGATATTTGTTTTCAGTTTGTATCTTCTACATTTGAAGGGCGGGCCTGGTGCAAGCGGTAGAGTCTTACCACCTGTGATCGGAAGGTCCCGGGTTCGAGTCGCGGTCTCCTCGCATTGCACAGGCGAGGGTAAGGCTTGCCACTGACACCCTTCCCCAGACCCCGCATAGAGCGGGAGCTCTCTGCACTGGGTACGCCCTTATTGTTTATGTCAATGTGCATTTGTCCAAAGGGCCTACAAATCATTCTTGCAAAGTGTTAGAAAAATGATTCTTGAAGGGGAGAAGGTCCCCCAATTTGAATTCCATATGTCCTCCTGATAAGTCAATGGGAAATGCTCTCTAATGGATTCCACAGTTTGCAACTGGTGAAAGGCTTATGTTGACAAGGGCAGATTGAAAAGATCATGGATTGATTGCTGATGGTAGACTGTATGCACTGAAATCCACCTGTTCTTTGCAAAGGAATATAGTTCAGGATAATCAAGTTTTGAGAGGCTGCTGTATCCCGTTGTCTTGCCAAAATAGGCAGGTCTGACTATTCTGCACATTCACCTTAGATAAAGATTTGAAGGTATCAAGTAGATTTAAGATATCTTTCCACTAAAAGGACCATTTTTCTAGTGTTTCTTGGTAATTTACCATTTGGATAGTGTTTTTCCCATACCATTGTCACCCAAGGTATGTCCCTTCTGTTTAGAAATTTGTCTAGATTCTTCATCAGCAGTGCTTCATTTTGCTTTGGAAGATCCAAAACCTCTAAACCTCCCTCTTCTTTTGGTTTGCAGACTAATTCCCAAGTTGCTTTAGAAGGTTTTTTAGAATTTAAGCCCGATCCTCTCCAGAGACAATGTTTACTAAATTTGTCAATCTGTTTGAGCACACCTTTGGGTAAGACAAGGGCACAGAGATGGAAGGTGGGAAGAGCAGTGAGAACTGCATTTGTCAATTCAAGTTTCCCAGCCTGAGATAAGAAGGAAGAAGCACAAGCAAGTCTCCTCTCACATTTATTTACCAGGGGAAGGAAGTCTTCAACTTTTGGTTTGGTGAGACCTAGGGGTAACCCAAGACAAGTAAAAGGAAAGGATCCTTTGGAACAGCCAAAGGTATTAGCCAAATGATTAAACTTGATTTCAGAGATGTTGATGGAGAGCATCAGAGATTTATTGTAGTTGACCTTTAGCCCTGTGGAGTCAGATTTGATTGCCATTTTTTGCCTCACCTAAATAAGACAGATAGAAATGTAGCCATTTAAACAAACACAGCTTGCACTACACCAAACAGATTGAGCAACCTAATATTCGAATACTGTACATAAAAATGATGCACCTTGAAATCCTGGCTCAGCCTCGTGCGATACCAATCAGCCCTAATAATCATATACTCCCTCCGTACTAAAAAAAATAAAGTCGTTTTGAATAAGGCTTTGAGTCAAACATTGAGAATATAAATAATGAATAATTTTTAAGTTGTTGAGTTTAGAAATGTGAAAGCCATATAAATACTTTCATAAAAATATACATATATCACTTTTTGATAAATATTTTTATAAAAATAAGGAGTCAAAGTAATACTTTGAAGACCGCGTCGCTGTCCAAAAATGACTTTTTTTTGTACGGAGGGAGTATTGACTACCAGTGGAGATTCCAATACCATCCCCTTCCCCTCCTCCCCCACCTGCTATCTCCAAGCTGTCCAAAGTCCCCAGCTTTCCCTCCTAAAACTGACTCCAACAACGAGGACCCAAATACAACACCTTTAGGTCATGCACAGTGAAAGCGTGGCCATCCAAATTTTTTCCTTCTCTAACAGCGAAGCACGGGAGAACGCAAATCTCCCCACCCCGTTGAAGCCCGCGGCCTCCCCTACTCCTCCCCCTCCGCCTCGCCGTCCTCCTCCGGACTTACGCCGCCGCACCCGCGCGCTCTTCCTCCACGTGTCCGACATGTCGTGGAGCCACTCGCCCATGGCGGACCCGGCTCGGCTTGCTGTGGCGGAGAGGGCGTGGCGGGAGGCCCCTGGCTGTTCTTGCAAGACGCGACCTCATCTACAAGAGCTTCGCGAAGGCCCCAACACCGAGCGCTACCGTGGGCGAGGCCACCAAGCTGCGAGCTCCGGCTCGAGATCCGGTGAGGCGCGGCGCCCCTTCGCGCGGACGAGCTCCGGCCGCCCTCTCCTCCCCTTGCCGGCGGCGTGGCCCTACGGTCCACCAAAGCGGCACCTGCGACCCCTTCCTCAACTCCGGTGTGGCTCCGGTGCGGTGACCCCGAGGTGCTGGTCTCGCCAGACCGGGCTCTGGTCGTCCCCTTCCGGTGGGCCCGACGCCTGGGTGGAGACGCAGAAGGACGAAGAGAGGACGCATGTTTGCGTCGCGTGTCGATATCAACCCAAAATGCGTCGTTCATTTGTCTAGTCTGTTAGAGGTTGTTTTGGGAAAAAAAACAACGTGAACAACCCATTTCTAAGTTCGGGTCACGCCGTTGGAGTGAGTCTGAAAACTCCTCACCACATCACCGCGAGAGAGGTAGAGAAGGCGGAGGAGCGGCGCATCGCAACACTCACCAAGGTAACGTACACACGCTTCCTTCCAGCTCGCTCTCCCTCTCTCGCCAGTCGCCGCTGCTCCCAGCTGTTGCAGCCTCCGAACATCCAAAGCTCCTGCACTGCACCCCGTCAGCTCCAGCCAAAATTCGTTGGCGTCGGCTGTCCGGTGCCTGCTCCTCCTGCTGCCCCCGCTCCTCGCACCTCCATCCACCTCCCGCGGCCTCCCACGCGACATGACTGCATTGCGGGCTGCCGCGGAGCTCAGCTGTCCCCCCACGACGCCTTCGTCTCGCCCGCCTCTGCCTGCGCACAACCGAAAGAGCTAAACTCTAGTCTCTAGCCGCCCGCCTTCCTTCCCTTTGCTTCCGCGCGAAGATTTGGGCGTTTCTTCTTCCGATAAACTTGTATGTGGTTTGACACCCGTCGTCTCCAGATAGGTGGTTTGGTTCGTGACTTGTTTGCTCCTCTCCAGGTGCCAGGGTGACTGTTTCGAGGAGGAGCGTGGAGTGGCGCCATGGGGAAGAAGGGCAAGTGGTTCGGCGCCGTCAAGAAGGTCTTCAGCCCTGAATCCAAGGAAAAGAAGGAGGAGGTGATGCTCCACGCTTCCCCGGCCCCTTGATTTCTCTTGTGTTTTGCGGGTTTCGTTTTGGAATTTTTTGGGGAGCATTTTCACTCGGATCTGATCGTGTTCGTGTTTCCCTCCGCCCAATTCCGAAGAATGCAGTAGTTTCAGTCCAAGTGTTTGTTCATTCATGGTAAAACCGGCATCTTGTTCGCCCTTTTCTAGACTTCTCTGCCGCCGTCCTCGTTTCGATTGGGCTTTCGTGTTTTACATATGGAAAAGAAAAATATTGAATTTTTGGTTTGTCATTCTGTGGTTCCAACAGCATTGTTGTCAAGACGGCATTTCCTCCCCTTGCAGATCTGCGATCAAGGCGCCGCCTTTTTTTTTCTTGCATTTGTTTTATCACTAAACTTCGACCTGAATTCTGATAATCACAAACCAAAACTTTGCACTGGAAATTAACAGAGACTAAGGTGGAAATCAGCAGCTAGCAACCCAACACCGCTAGATCTGACCCCATCTACCTCCTTGGAAGTCAATGTTTCGGTGCCACCCCATCCAGCTCCTCCTCCTCCACCAGGCCGAGGAGGTCAGGATCCCTGAAGCCGAGCAGGAGCAGAGCAAGCATGTCACCGTGGAGGAGGCCCCTGCTGCCCCAGCACAGGCGTCGGTGCTGCCACCTGGTGTGCCAACCGAAGTGCTCGCTGCAATCAAGATCCAGACCGCCTTCCGAGGTTACCTGGTAATGTGAAATCTCTTCCGAATTCACCTGTTCAGGTGCCATTTGGACCTGGTTTGGTTTTTTCCTGAGATGTTTAGATAAGAACAATTGTGACAGTTGGAAATTGGTTTATATAGATACATGGTCGCATTACATAGCACATGGAAGTGTTTGTTTCTGGTAGCTGCTGATTAGGTCTTTGATATTTTGGGGTTAGGAAGAGGTTTGTTTTTTTCCTGATTTCGTTTCCGCATCGGCATGACTGACCATGCAAGCAAATGTCTGTTGGTGTTGGTGGCTACCCTGCATATTTTCTCTTTTCGTGTTCTAGCTTTTAGGTGTCGGCAGCTCGCCAACCTTTGCAAGTGTTAGTTGGCCAGTTGCTGTTACTGTAATTTGGAGTGGTACCTCTTAGCATACTGTAGCTATTTACATGTCATGTTTTCATCTAACTACTTTGTGGGCTAAATGGGAATTTATGGCTAAAGAAGTAGATTTTATTGCTTTAGTTGAACCTGGAGGAGCTGTTAATCTCTAGTTTAATTCCTCTCCTTCAGTTAGCTGTTTATTTTTTAGGTTTGTCTATTGTTTATGTCAATGAAGGGCGGGCCTGGTGTAAGCGGTAGAATCTTACCGCATGTGACCGGAAGGTCCCGGGTTCGAGTCGCGGTCTCCTCGCATTGCACAGGCGAAGGTAAAGCTTGCCACTGACACTCTTCCCCAGACCCCGCACAGAGCGGAAGCTCTCTGCACTGGGTACTTATGTCAATGTGCATTTGTCCAAAGGGCCAACAAATCATTCTTGCAAAGTGTTAGAAAAATGATTCTTGAACAACTGGCAGTTGGTGCAGCCACATTTCATCACTCATTTTGATGTTCTTTTCAATTATTTTTTGATACTGATAGCCTGTCTGTCCTGCTATTGAACTATCCTTGAGATAGCAATTAGTGAACGTTAACTTCTGTTCGCTGGGAGAAGGGCGGACCTGGTGCAAGCGGTAGAGTCTTATCGTCTGTGACCGGAAGATCCTAGCTTTAAGTCGTGGTCTCCTCGCATTGCACAGGCGAGGGTAAGGCTTGCCACTAACACCCTTCCCCAGATCCCGCACAGAGCGGGAGCTCTCTGCACTGGGTACGCCTTTTTTTTTTTATCTTCTGCACAGAGCGGCGCGGGAGAGTGATCCACGATGGGCAGCACGATGTTGTCCAGCGCACGGATCGGTCGACGCACGATGAGGTTGGTGGTAGGTGCGGATTCGTCCTCAGGCACTTCTATAGGGGGGGCCGCGGGAAGCCACCGCATAGGGAGTCGTCGACCTCGGCGAGGTCGGAGAGGACGCCCCCAAGGAGCGACGGGGACGGCAGCGCGGCAGGGGTGCAGGGATGGGGAGCGACACGCGCAGCGGTGGCTCACGGGATTGGGGAGGAGATCGGGAGCGCCTCCATGTCGCGGGGCAAGGGTGAGGGGGCTTCTGTGGTGCGCGCATGGATCGAGCGAAGCGCAGCACGCCGATCTGAGCAGCAGTTGCGCGGTGGCCGGGCGGAAGGGGAGGAGGGCGATAGAAGGCCGTGGGCTCTGGGCTGGGCGTCGTGCGCGACGGCGGTTCCGCCGCGGAGACATGATAGAGGGAGCGGGGCGGGGCGTTTAGCGTGGGGTGATTACGGAGGGGGTGAAGCGATTAGGACTAATCATAAGATAACCTCCGGGTCTTTTTAGTTGTAGAAGATAGGGAGAGAGATTATCGTTATGTTCTCAGGCTTCGGGACTGGATGGGTTGGGGGGTAGACCGGCAGAGACAGATCTTCCCAAAAACAGAGTTCAGGACGGGTGCGGGTTTCATTCTCGGGGTTTAGGTGCTTCACCTGACCCTGACCCGCCCTGTTGCCATCCTGGGCCCAGCAAGCAATGACAGCTGACATGCATGTCGGAGCAACACAACCATAATTAGGCTAATTGCTGGGCATGACTTGTATTAAGTCACAGTGCGTGAGACTTGTAGATGCACTTGCTTGTAGTGCCAAAAGCAGTTTTCTCAAGGACGATTAACGGGCAACATGTGACATGACTTAAAATGGATTATGATGGAACTAGACAAACTATATACAGCGTTTGTCATACGTTGTCCAAATAACAGCATAAAGATGTATTGGTGTAGCAACCAAAATGATGTTCCAAAGCTTAACCGATTCATTAATGTTGACTTCATTACCATACAAGTTGGTTCGACATATAGAAAACAACTTCAAATCCACAAGCATAGGTCCTCTAGCCTTGAAACTCAAAATACATTTCACATTGACATGATGGAATCACTATAAAACATCATCACAAAAGATTATTAAATCGTCCATGGCAAGCAGTGGCAGAGCATCGGCCTCACTAAGATCCACCTCTGATTGCAGCACAACAGGCATCACTCCACAGCACCAGCTTGATAGTTGGATTCTTCTTCGTCCACAAAAACTGTTATAGCAATACAACAAAACAGCATAAATACTTGGTGAAGTACCCTAGTTTGATTGAGACCTAAGGAATCCCGTTCGGAAAAAAATAGTTGCATTTCCATTGTGCCATACTCCCTCATTTCCAAACCATAACACATTTTGGCTTTTCTAGATACATTACTTTCACTATGTATCTAGACAGTGTATTTCTAAGTGCATAAAAAAACCATGTACCTAGAAAAGACAAAATGTCTTATAATTTGGAAAAGATGAAGTTTTTAACATGGTGCCCTTACCACTGTACATACACACATAAATAATTAAATTCAACTGGGAAACATAATCTCACGTACTGCAGGTTTTAGTAAGGAAAACATAATCCCTTAGGGGCTTGACCCCTTCTGGAGTCAGCAGTATATAACCAAAATAATTTCTACTTGCTTGGGAACATCAATTCAATTAAGACACAGCAGCCCTCCTAATAGTTTGTTAGAATAGCACCCTCACATTTGTTCTTATCTTGCTATATGTTCACTTCCTTATCATTGACAACTGAAATCGGTGGGTACAAGGGAAACAACTATTTGGACACACACATATGGACCTATGGCTGGGGCCCGCCTTTTCCGCTGATACACACATGCCCATGCCCATCTGTCCACTACGAATATCTAGTTGTTCAACAATTTGCAACATACTAATTGAAAGTGTAAAATAAATTATTAGTGTACATCCACTGCTATATTTCTAACATCTAATAGTTCAAGCATTTGTGATATTACTAATAGAGCAGTGCATATAATAAAATGATAGTATGTCCGATTCCAGGCATTGGCAGTTCCAGGAAAATTTACTCAACGCATGCATGCAGTGCAAGCATGCACAAAACACGAGAAGCCAAATCAAATGCACTAATAAATAGAAGAACAAGCAGATTGCAAAAGCATTTGGCAAGCAATGGCTAGCTAGTGGATAAAAAAGCTAAGAATCATGAGTATATAAAAAGATCACAAGAGTAGGCATCAATTTAATTTGCAGATAATATATGATACAAGAAGCCAATTAGTTACCTGGGTCAGTAGCCGAACTTTTTATTAACCTCATCTTGGGATTGGTATACTTGGAGATTCTACTAAGACAGTAGATGCGATGACAAAAGGGATGATCTTGATTGCCAATGTTTGCCACATGTTTCAGTGTACCTTGATTCTTCATGTCAACAGCAAGAAACCATGCTTTGGGGTGCAGATACTTCTCCCTGGCCACCAAGTAAACCACGTCGTCTTTACCATTGGGACAGAGAGTGGGCTGACACAAGCTGAGGTTGTGCAGTTTTAGCTGTTGTTGTGCTTCTGCTGCGGCGGCATCATCGCTGTGTTCTCGTCGTGGTGGTGGTCTATGGAGCAACCCAAAGTCCTCCAGCATCCGTGAAACCGCTGCCGGGTCGTCAATGGTGATGTTGGAAGCTTGGACACTGTGTTCCTTGTGCCAATCCTCCAGGGAGTCTCATCTTGCTGTTGCTCCACGTGGTGACCTCCCAATCAAGAACCTGTACATCCTGCCCGCCAAGACCCCTGGTAGCAGCATGAATAGGAGGAGGGGACTCATTCTGTTCCAGGTGCACAAGCGTGAGGCACCCCTTGTCTCTGTTGAAGGAGATGCCACGGCTGTGCCCTACGAAGTCTAGCTTCACTCCCAACCCGTCGTTGAGGCTCATCTGCGTCAACGGCTGCGGGATGGGCACTCCGCGAGGAGGGATGGATCGGGCGGAGCACGTCGCGAGCAAGATGCTTCGCGCCAGGATCGACCAGAGCCATGGTGCCACCCTCGCCTCCGATGGTGACCACGGCGGATGTATAATGGCGAGGGCGCGCGCGCAGTACTTGGGAATCCTCTTGGGTAACGGATCCCACTGTGGCGGCTCCACAGACACCTGGCGGCTGGTCCAGGTTTCGGTGTCGAGTGGTACAGTTGGAGCTCATTACGCGTCGTCGCAGCCTATATCCATCAGCGGCGCGCGATGGTGTAATGGCCGTCCGGATGAGGGAGGAGGCCGACGTCATCCCTGTGGAAGACGGGGGTGGGGGGCTCTCCAGCAGATCAAGCGTCGGGTAGGCGGAGGCGCGGTAGACGTAGTAGTCGTGGGAGTGCTTGAGATGGATGTGGCCGTCTGTGCGCCCCACGTTGACGCGGAGAAGGGGGAGGCGGTCCACCGAGCAGAGGATGATCGGGCCCACGAATGGATTCAGATCGTCGGAGGCCATGTACAAAATGGAGGGCTGCGGTGGGTGTTTCAGCAGAAAGGATACCTCGATGAGCACCCTGTTGCTGTTGAAGGCTGTGGCGGTGGTGCGGTTCCGGTGGATGCCAACGACGGCGTCGACGTTGAGTAGGACATGGGAGGGACGTCGTGACCCAAAACGTCGGACGCCAGGAGGATGACGACGGCGAGTTCATCTCCTCCAAGGCAGCAGATCCACCGGTGGAGGACATGGATAAGGTTCGAATGAGGTTCTCGATCCTCATCCTCCCCTCGGAGGAGCTACAAACGCGGCGGATTAAGGAAAGGCGGCGCCGGAAGCGGGGAGAGGGAGAGGGAGAGCGGGGGATTTGGGATCGGGGGAAGCTAGGGTTAGGTATTAGTAGTTCCTCCAAGAGGCCAGGCCGAGGCCGAGAGTATGATGAGAATACGGGCCGAGAGGAAAGGCTGGCCCGAACACCAGATTTGTGGACTTTAAATATGAAAACCAGAAAGCCTTTTGCCAATAGTCTACCATAAGAAGTTGAACTGAATTTCTGCAATTTATAGTGATAAATCTTGTACATACTACAGGATGATGTGAATTCCTTGAATGTCACAATGCGCCTATAATACATTAATAGGTGTTTAAGGAACTCTAATTAACAAATTGAATAAAAAACAGATTTATCGATTAGCATGACATGAGAGTAAACATAAAATAACAAATTCAGTACAAAAACATATACGCTTGCATGACATAACAAGTATAACACATGAAGTTACATTATGTACATGAGAAACATCATTAAAAGTGAGACTTCAGATTATAACCTGTGCACGAAGCGTAGAAATCGACGGGCAACTACTATTTCTGATTGCTTCGTTTCAGCACCTTTGGCATTGTCACATGATTCCTGTACCGAATGCTTCATTTCAGCAACTACTATTTCTGATTGCTTCATTTCAGCACCTTTGGCATTGTCACATGATTCCTGTACTGTTTTGACCTTGCCATAGGTGTCCTCTTTTGTTGGAAGGCAAGTTGTTGGTGCCTCCTTTTGACTCACAATTGTTTCAATTTTCCTCTCGGATCTTCTCTTTTCTTCTTCCAAATCTTCAAGAAATTGATTCGAGATTGAAGACCAGTTTTCATTTACTGGACTGAAGGAGCTTGTCAGCTTTCTTTTTGTTTCGGCAGGCTTCAAATACAAGAAACAAAGGGACAAAATGAACAAAGATATGAAAAGCTAAAAAGGAGCAAATTAAAGAAGAGAGAACACTAACATTTCCAATATTGAAGTTCTCATCTAAGCCTATCCACATGATATCAGGATATTTAGACCGCATATCTTCCTCAGTAGCCAAGAAATAGAATTATCCATCTTTCTGTAAGACAAAAGGAAAACAGTACCCTTAGTCACTTGGGATGTTTAAATTACAGCACGCATGTTTACTTTGGCAGCTTCATAATAATCACTTGGTGAAAATCTCAAGTTTACTGTTCGGAAAAAAATTACCTAGCCAGGTCAATCACTTGCAGTTAAACACTGAATAAATACAAGTACATACGGTCATACATATCATGCATAGCGAAAAAAAAAGCGGTGCGTGCCAATGAAAAATAATAAAGGACATCATTTTCAGAACACAGCAAAACAAGGCCAGCATGTAGACTCGCATACTTTGACAGAGACCAAATGGTGTGGTAAGCATGTGCAAAATAATGCCGAAGCAAGACTCAACATACTTTGGCAGCTGCAGACAGTATGGAAAAAAAAAGACAACCAAGACAGCACAGCCACAAACCAGGATAAAATCACAGAGAACAGACAGACAAGTGCCTAAAGCGCCAAAGGTCATTTAGTTGTGCCAAAAAAAATACTGCAGTTATATTGAAGCTAACAATATCTCCCAAGGAATTAGTGATGGCAAAAGATAAGGCGACAGGTCATGGACAAGTGTACTCAGCAATTTAAACTTGAACATTACACATCAAAATACTAACCGTCAATCTAGCATGACCAGGATCGAACAAGCTAATTCGAATCCAAAATAATGGCTACGGTTAGGAGAGATGGCTCACCATGTAGACAACATGGAAATCCCCGTGTAGATGGAAGAGGAACAATTCATTTTCAGTGGCTTCCTCGCGCAAGAGACCCAACCTGCGAAAACACCAACAGTTACGGAACAAAAACCACACGCATCTTATCATGCTTCGATTCATCAAAGTGCACCCCAGATTCACAGGCATCCTCATATGCTTGGAATTCTAGAATCAACTCAAAAGAAGACACATCTTTGGTTACACTGGATAGACGAGTGTCCTGAAAATGAATTTAGAGGAAATTAGTCAAAGCTGCAACTACACATCCAATGTTTGAAATAAGGACATGAAAACTTTAGTAGCTTGAGAAAGCTTGAAAAGGTATATATGGCCACACACCCCAGGATCAGGAATAAGTGCATATCGCTGGGTAACACCCAATGGATGGAAAAAGGACTCCGACATTCTTGTTCCAGTGGTGATGGTGAATTCACCGGTCTTATGATGGATTAAGATCGAAAAACATTAGCAAATGAGAATTAATAAAGAAGATTTGATCAGTAGAAGCGAAACGAACCTGCTATGCATCGGGAACACTCCAGTTTGGCTGCGCAAATCATCTAATTGAGCCTGGTAACCCTTCAGACGTTGATCTCGATCCTCAACAACCATAGTGCCCGCCTTCACACTTCCATTTAGTGTACGAACAATGAGGTCAAAAACAAAAACTTGCAACTTCCTGGGGGTCACAGATCTTGTTCCGTCACTCCTTTTAACAGTATCTAGAACACTAGTACCAGAACCAGCATTCCTCAGGAGGAGTAGGTTGCAGAGACCCAAAAGTGGGCATGGTAACGCGTCGCCGGCCTTGCTGGGGCAGACAATCAATGCTGGTTTCCCCGCGAATTGCACCTCGTGTACCTTGTACACCTTTGTCGGCTTCTGTGGCGTCTTCTTCTGTGACAACTTATTCTTTTTCGGCGGCATGGCTGGGACACAAGTAAAAAATCTAGACTTAGACATAACTGCCATAACTGGTCTCCTAGGATCTATCTTCAGTTTTGACCCTCAGCTACTACCAAAGGAAAATTAGAAGTTTAGGGTTTAGGGATTAGATCGAGAATGGGGAAAGATGCGAGAGGAAATGAGGAAACAGAGAATGGGGAAGGCAAGACTCATTGGAGATGAACTTCAGGATGAACTCACTTTGTTGTGGAGTTCTGATCCTCCTTTCAGACGTGGTCTGCCTTACCCATTCTCTTTTCATTTCCTCATTCTCGTCCCAGAGACTTCTAGTCATTGCAGTAATAGATGTTCAGGTCTAGCGTGTTATCTCTGCAGGTTTTTTGATCCTGGCCATCTGTGGATTTTTATCCTATGATGAAAATCCATGGTGTACAAGGTACCGAGGTGCAATTGCTGAAACAAAGCATTGATTATGCTTGAATTTTGTTCAAGTTACCATGCCACTTTTGGGTCTGTTGCTCCTTGTGAGGAATCTTTGTTACGCATTATTATTCTAGATCTTTGTTAAATGGTGATGGAACAGAAGTGCAAGTTTTTGTTTTCTCTCATGCATCTATGTTAGTTGAGATGATCATTGTTATAATGGCTCAATTAGATGATTCCTGTGATATTGGAGTGTTCTAGATCTCATAGCGAGTTCATTAAGCTTCTCTTGATAAGATCTTAGATTCTCATTTTGCTAATGTTTTCAATCTTAATCCATCATAGACCATGGTTTTTCTTTGGAAGATGATGTTAGTCCTTTTTCCATCCATTGATTGTTATTCGGCATGCAGTTTAACGATCTGAGGTGTGAGCTTTCTCAAGCTACTAAAGTAATTTTGTTCAAACATTGGATGTGTAGTTACAACTTTGACTAATTTCCTCTAAATTCATTTGAGAATGGAGATGATTGTGCAAAGATTAGTTTCTATAGAGATGAAGGAAGATGAGGAGATGGAAGGTACAATGATGACATGATAAGATCGTTGGTTTTTGTTATTGGAGATGCATGCATGTTCAGTTTAGTTGGGAGCAGAAGAACAACTTGAGCTGCGTAGAAGTGCAAGAGTGAGACAGCTTTATGAAGGAGAAGAATTTGAGTCCAAAGAAGAAGAGTTTGATGAAGATGAGGATGATTATGTGGAAGCTTATATTTTGAAGAAAGATGATATGATAGTGTGGTCTGTCAAAGTATCTTTTTATATCATTTCATGGTTTATCTTTATTTATGATTTTTTTTTCGCCGGATTTCATGTATTGTATTTATTCGGTGTTTAAGCGCAAGTGATTGACGTGCTAGGTTTTTCTTAACTTGAGATTTCTACATGAGAATGGAGATGATTGTGCATTAGTTGTCTATTTTTGAGGAAGAGGAGATGGAAGGTACAATAGTGTCTTTTTCTCTATGAGAAGAACAATTGAGCTGAGAAGTGCAAGAGTGAGACAGCTTTTTTTCAGATGAAGATGATTATGTGGACCCTCAAAGCGAAGATTGAACGAAGAAGAAGAGTTTGATGAAGATAAGGATGATTATGTGGAACCCTATTGAAGAAGAAAGATGATATGATAGTGTGGCCTTTTTATCATTTCATGGTTTATCTTTTATGATGCATTCATGTATGTCTTAAACTTATGAACTGCTGCTGTGTGACTGTGTTTTTCTTCTTTTGTGAGAACTATGTGCTCTCTGAATAAGACCTTTATTTATGAATTGTGTTGTGCAATTGTACTGCTGTCCTGTCCACTTGTTTGTGCTTCAAAATTTGTAATTACTAGCTGTTGATATGGTCTGTTTATGGATGGGAGATGGCTAAAATCATTCAGATAAGTATCAACTTGCTATTTTCTATTTTTTGATGATCTGCTTGTTGTCTATTGAGTATTTACAAGCTGTCTATTGAGTATTTTTTTATGATCTACTTGCTGTCTATTGATTATTGAGCCTAAGCCAATAAGCCATAAGGTATGTCTACTGCCCTCTCTTTTATCTTTTGTCATTTTGTCATTCCGAAGGAAACAGACAGCACTTGATTCCTCCTCCGTTGTTGTGATTATGCTGCTGACAACTTGTAGTCCACGCAGAAGTCACAGCCGAT